CTTATAGAATTATTCCTGCCTCTTCACAGGAAGGTCAATTTCACTGATTGGAGAAAGGAGACAGTTGAACTCTCGTCTTGCCAGTCATACTAGTCCTCAATTAAAGAACAAATGATTATGCTACCTTTGCATGGTCAGAGTACCGCGGCCGTTTAACTAGTGTCACTGGGCAGGCAGTGCCTCTAATACTAGTAATGCTAGAGGTGATGTTTTTGGTAAACAGGCGGAGTTCTTGTTTGCCGAGTTCCTTCTTTCTCTTTTAATCTTTCCGGGTTGCACTCCTGTGTTGGATTAACGATGCTGTAAATTACAGATTTATGGGGGGATTAGGGTTATAATATCGTTAACTATCAGTGGGCATCCATTCTGATATAAGCCTGTGCATGGAGAAGTGTTTCTTGTTACCCATACTAACATTATCTCTTCTATAAATCAATAGAATGACTCAATACTAAATTAGGGAGCTGGGTTTAAATTGTTGGGATTAATATAATTTTTAAGTTTGAGCTTTAATGCTTGCTTAATTGGTGGCTGCTGTTAGGCCAACTATGTTTATATAATATTCTTACTCTCCTTTTTAGGTTGTATCCAAATTCAACAGAGCTGTACCTCTATTGAATTACTCCAAAGTTTGCAAAATAATTAGGTGGTTTTGGGGCATACTTTGGGTTGAACTTAGGTTCTTTTCTTGGGTAACCAGCTATCACCAGGCTCGGTTGGCTTTTCACCTCTACTTATAGATCATCTCACTATTTTGCTACATAGACGAGTTCATTCTTACAATTGTCCATAAGTAGCTTGTCTGGTTTCGGGGGTTTTGGCTTCAGGTCTCTTTGTCAACAGTATTCTAGTTAGTTCATTATGCAAAAGGTAAGAGGATATGTCTCTGCTGTTTTGTACTTGAAGTTGTCTTTCATCTTTCCCTTACGGTACTTTTTCTATTGCGTCTTGGGTAAATTTTCTATCTCCTATACTAAGTTTTGGTTAATGTTTTGTTTTATGGATATAAGTAGTTGTGATAAGTGAATTAAGAGCTAGATCTTGTTCAAAGCGGTCATGGTTATGAAATCTTCTGGGTGTAGGCCAGGTGCTTTAGTTTAAGCTACACTTTGAATAATCCAAGCACACTTTCCAGTATGCTTACCTTGTTATGACTTGTCTCCTCTCATGCCATGTGGATTTGAATATGGTTGTGGGTCCTAGTCATCTGAGGAGGGTGACAGGCGGTGTGTACGTGCTTCATTGCCAGATTCAGTCAGGCACTCTACTCCTGACTTACTGCTAAACCCTCCTTCATCCTATAATTTCATATTGGAATTCGTGGGTGTTCTTGTGAAGAAAATGTAGCCCATTATACTCCATCACATAGGTTACACCTTGACCTAACGTTTTTGTGAATACATTTAAGCTTACTATTTTTCCTTTTAAGGGTTTGCTGAAGATGGCGGTATATAGACTGGTTTAGCAAGTGATGGTAGGGTGTATCGGGGTTTATCGATTATGTAACAGGCTCCTCT